CGGGCGGCGGGCGGCGTGCGAGGAGGCGGCGGTTCGCTAAACCGAGTGGAACTAAAATAAAACTTCAATCTGCGTTTGTATAATTTTATTCGGCACCACTGACCAATATATTTGGAATGATATCGACTTTTAATGTTTTCTACGGCTAAGGGAACGTGTAGGTATTGATATGTAAACGTTTCACATTACAAAATTCTAGATTGAAACTTAACAGCTACCTACGTAATACATTTCTGCTAATCCACAACACTTGTAACAATCAACATTAAATATTATTGTAAAATATCTAATTTCATCTAGGGGCATAATGTACTTATACTCTAGTGATGTCTTTTACATTTATTTTCAGGCTTTACTTTGAGGACCTTTATAGAATCAGCACAATAGTTATTCCAAAGAAAGAAAAAATACGTTGGATATAATTTTATCAACAGAACTTTCGAATAAACTATTATTGGCACGAGAAAATTACTATTTGTTGTTTATTGGTTGTGCATTGCTCACAACCATATAAAAGGCACAGCCAAAACTAAAAGGCCACTAAATATCTAAACATGATTTAGGAATGCTACAAGACGTAAATCACAATTTCGCTACAATAATCTAAATAAATCTAATCTATGGCGATACATTGTTTCCATAAGTATGGCACAACACTAATGACAATAAGTACTTTAGCAGTTTAATTATGAGTAACAATAAATATGTACCTTATTAGTTGGTTTGTTTAGCTGTTAATAGTAAATTCAGGATATTTTTTCATAAATCACAATAAAACAGGTAAAATAAACATATTAAAACAACCTGTGCAATCTGATGTGCCAGAGAAAAAGTGATTTAGACAAATTACAAAATAGATGACTCGTCACAACGCTCGATGTTAGCACTTAGCAGACTACAATTAGCATTAGACAGTTTACATAATTCCAGTCCAGCAGTTGAATTAAGTGCTGGATTACAACCGGAAAATGTATAGCTACAAAATATACTATAGGCTCCAGAATAGGTTTACATTTTGCCAGTCGTAAACAGATTTAGACTCTGGACTGGAATAATGCAAACCGGACGACATCTTTCCACAACTGTGAATTCAAATAATAAAAACTACACTGATCTAATGTAAAATGAAGCAAATTATTATTGCGTGCGAAGGCAAAGCCAACTGCAGATAAAATGCGTATTGTGTTATTTAAAAGCTTTGAAATCATTTGACTTGTCCTCCACACAACAAATTCACTAATTCCATATCTAATATTACGTTTTTATTGATAAATTCTCATAACAAATTGTATATTTGTCACAAATATCACATATTTAATGAAGTAATAAGTACTTTACAAATACCAACATTACTGTTGTGTATAAATTCAATCACATAATAAAAAAGCAAATTAAAAATTAAAAACTATATAAAGCAATAAAACATGCTTCTTATAAACACATTAATTGATAATGGCAATTATTATTAATAATTCTAAATAATGTCAAACTAATAGACGAGAAGATTGGAAAAGTATTGAACTTTCTTTCAACAAATTACTAACATAATAAATAAACATAGCCAATTATTCTCACGAATGTAATTATTTATCTTTACGGCAGTATTTTCATTAGTCTCCTATTAGGGATGCACTTTATATTTGTATTTATTTCAATTTCCTAGTTTTTTTTAATACAGTGTTTCTAATGTTTCGGATAGTATACACTTGAGTAAACCTTATCCATATTATAAACTGTATTAAATACATGCTATAATGTATTTCTAAAAATTCAATAAAAAAGAAAAACTAAACAATAAGACTTCATGCAGATAATATAAAACGATACAGAAAGATAACAATACAGATTATCTTTTTTCAATTTTAAATCGATTTCTGGACAGGCAATCAACTAGTTATGCCGCGTTATGGGAACCAATAATTCCTCATTTGGTCAAATAAATTGAATTCCAGTGTCGCGACACAAATTTTATATCATGAATATAAGAGAGATAGCGTCATTGCTTTTCTCATAGCGGGGTTATTTTTTTATTATTGTGCATCCCTAATTCGTACATGTGTCAGTTCAAAGGAAGACATCGTCTGCGACGTTGATGACGTGGTCGCGGTCGCCTGCGGGGTGCGCGTGGGGCGCGGGGTGTGCATGGGGCGGGGTGGGGGGCGTGTCGTGGGCGGAGCGCGGGGTCTCACCTGGCGCGTGCGGCGCGTCCTCCGGCGCCTCCTCGTCCAGCGTCTGCAGCGCGCCGCAGATCATCTGCTCCTCCAGCGTCACCTGCAATACGACACAGTGTAAACACACACTAAAAATCGTGTTATTATTGCAACAACGTGTTTATACAGTTTGGATTCTGAACAGAACAAAATAAGGTAAACGCATCAATGATGTAAGTCGATTGTTGCAAATGATCAATATTTTTGTATGAAGACATCAAATTTACATCATACATAAACAGAAAAAAAACATGCTCCAACAAATTTTAATCAATGATTCTACAAAAAAGATGTTTTTTTAAATAGTTGTAGATTGAATAGAATAATTCAAAATTCGTTTCAAATAAAAGTGTACATGATTATGCCTCATAACACCTCTTTATACAATAGTCAATGAGTCATTCCCACTAAGTGATTTTTTTAATTCTAGTATTTATTTTCAGTGACAGTAAACGTGCAGTATCTACACTGTCGTGCGATGTGCGACTGAACTATGCTGTAAATAAACAGAAACCAAACTACTTTATAGTCACCTGATATTCCGTATATAGCTGCAAAACGGAATAAATATCACTATTTAATTTACCAGAGAGGAGTTATTAATTATAAAGTGATACGGTGAATTCTAGGATCTGAATAATATAAATAAAACAATAGATTATTTAAATTCGCAGCTGTTACCTGTTTCTCAACATTAGTGGGCCGACTGCGTTGATGTTCTAGACGTGGCTTCACCGAATCTGTTTCTATTTCCGCAGACTTTTCCGGGATCACTGAATAACAACAACATTGTACTTAGTATCCAATCAGGTATAAAATAAAATCGCTCGTATAATAAGATTCAAACTTTATGACGGCTTGCGATTTGCGAACACATGGCTCCGCTTTCTATACGCTAATATTCTATTTCTAACTTGTATTTGTGTTGTATTCAGAGCTCCCATAAAGTGTGAAACTATGTGAGTGTAGTGTAGTGGTGCTGTACCAGCGACGGCGGGCGCGGCGAGCGGCAAGCCG